ACAGGAATTGTTGAAACGATACCCCGGGATTTTCCCCGACGACTTACCGGAAGGACTGCCACCTTAGCGAGCACATGACCACCGAATCGAATTAGAACCGGGGGCACAGCCAACCGTACAGCGCCAGTTCAGACTGACACAGCCCGAGCTCGACGAACTAAGGAAGCAGCTAGATTACCTGCTAGAGAAAAAAATCACTAGACCGAGCTCGTCACCGTTCGCCACACCGATACTATTCACGCCGAAAAAAGACGGGGGGTTTCGCATGTGTATCGACTACAGAGCAATGAACAGGGTAACAGTCAAGTCGCGGTACCCCATTCCCCGCGCCGACGAACTGATCGACCAACTGCGAAGAGCACGGGTTTTTTCGAAAATAGATTTACGAGGAGGTTACCATCAGATTAGGGTCGAACCATCGGACTGCGCTAAAACAGCTTTCAGGACTAGGTACGGGTCGTTCGAGTACACTGTGATGCCATTCGGGCTGACCAACGCACCGGCGACTTTTCAGATGACCATGAACGAGGCATTTAGGCCGCTCTTACATAAATGTGTAATAGTTTACCTCGACGACATTCTAGTGTCAGAATGTTATGTTTGTCTAGGCTGGAGTGGGGTACTCAATAGTGAGTACAGCCCAACTTAGGGTTTCCTATATGTACTCAACTGCTTGCTAGTGAACTCCTCTCTTCTTCATTCTCATTTCTCACATGCTATCAGAGCATCTACGGTCCTGGCCTGTGGGCCCACCTAACTGCTTCCGCTGCTACTCTGTGCCCTGCACGCCCCGTGGCGTGCCCCTCGCGCGACCCTTAGTGGCCCCGTCGCCACCCCTCGCGGCCCCGTCGCCGCCCTTCTCGGCCCCTCGCGGTCCCTTCGCGGCCCCGTTGCCGCCCCTTTCAGGCCCCTCGCGGCCCCTTCGCGGCCCGTCGCCGCCCTTCCAGGCCCCTCGCGGCCCCTTCGCGGCCCCGTCGCCGCCCCTATCGGCCCCGTCGCCGCCGCCAGTGGCCCCGTCGCCGACCCTAGCGGCCCCGTCGCCGCCCCTATCGGCCCCGTCGCCGCCTCCAGCGGCCCCGTCGCCGCCACTTGCGGCCCCGTCGCCGCCCCTATCGACCCCGTCGCCGCCTCCAGCGGCCCCGTCGCCGCCATTTGCGGCCCCGTCGCCGCCCCTTTCGGCCCCCTGGGGGAGGGGGGCGAGCATCGCCCCTTCTGCCGCCTGTTTTGGCGCCCTGGGAGACCGCGCGTCGCCCCCCCCCCCCCCTAACCTCCCTACCCGCCGTCCCGCCCTGCCCTGTGTTAGGGTCTGGGGGTGGCGAGTAGGGGGTGACGGGTGTGTGGTCTCCCCTGCTCCTCCTCCTCCTTCGTCTCCCACTGCTGCAGCTGTCGCTGAGGGGGGTGGATGTGTGGGAGCCTGGAGTTTAGGGTTTAAGGGGGGTGCTGTGGGAGTGGAGCTAGGGTTTTGAGGGAGGTGGATGTGTGTGAGCCTGCGGTTTAGGGTGTAAGGGGGGTGCTATGGGAGTGGAGCTAGGGTTTGAGCAGGGGGTGTGTGTCGAGAGGTGTGGGGCCGCTGGAGGAGGTTGGTTGAACGGAGGTTGTCGTCGTGTCGTCAGCAGCACCAGTAGTCCGGGGCGCTGCTCCGGTAGCCCAGTCGTAGCCAGCTGTGCCAGTCGCCCGTGGGTCCGTTGCTCGTCTGCCGCTAGTCTTAGCCGCGGAGCCAGTTACTCCAGTAGTCCGGAGCGCTGTTCCGGTAGCCGCTGTGCCAGTGTGACTTCTGTTGCCCGTGTGTCTGCAGCTTCAGCCGTCGCCTTCTATCTCCTCTCCTCTTACAGTCTCGCCTCCTCCTCCTCACTTGCCCTTTGTGAATGACTCTAGCTTTGCTCGCTATTGTGAACTCCTGCTCTATGCCTGCTTGCTCATTGTGCTGATTACACCCCACTTTGGCTATGGGGGTGTGTCAGAATGTTATGTTTGTCTAGGCTGCAGTGGGGTACTCAATAGTGAGTACAGCCCAACTTAGGGTTTCCTATATGTACTCAACTGCTTGCTAGTGAACTCCTCCTCTCTTCTTCATTCTCATTTCTCACATCTAGTGCACAGTCGGGATAAGCAACAGCACTTAGCAGATCTGGAAGCAATGTTTAAGGTTTTAGACGAGCACAGATTACTGACCAAGGGTTCCAAGTGCGAGTTCTTCCAGGATAGGTTAGATTTTTTGGGGCACGTTATTTCGGAGGCTGGAGTTGAAATCGACCCAAAGAAGTTGGATACGGTAAAAGCGTGGCATCCCCCGACGAACATCACAGAGCTGCAGAGCTTTTTAGGGTTCGTTAATTATGTGCGTCGGTTCGTCCCCTATATGGCACGGTTAACTGCCCCACTTACGGATTAACTACGGAAGGGGGTCGCTTTTACGTGGGGGGAGAAAGAGCATGCTGCCTTCTCTGCCCTGAAAAATGTTCTCTGTTCACCGCCTGTCCTGCGCATTGCCGACCCACACCGCCCATTCGAAGTAGTTACCGACGCAAGCGATATTGCCATCGGAGCCGTACTGCTACAGGATTTCGGCAATGGCCTACAGCCTATCGCATACGAGTCACGAAAACTGCATCCGCCCGAGAAAAATTACCCGATACACGACCGCGAAATGCTTGCGATCGTGCACGCGTTCAAAGTATGGCGTTGTTACTTGACTGGCGTGGACGTGACAGTACGGACAGACCATAAATCACTACAGTACCTTCGCGCACAGCCACACCTCAACCCACGACAGATTCCCTGGCTCGATTTCCTCGAGTCCAACTTTCACTATACGGTCACTTACACAAAGGGAGCCTTGAACATCGCCGACGCACTGACCTGCCCCACTGCCCAGATCCACGCAATACTACTCGCCCAGACAAGCCCGCTACTGACAGGCCTATTCACCGACGGGTACCAAACGGATCCATTCTTCACAGGAGGAAATCCGCAGCAGTTCGCAACAGCAAAGGGAGTCTATTACGTAAAAACCGGGACTGACCTCATTTGGGTGCCTGAGTATACACTGCTACGGGAATTACTGTTACAGGAGGCACACGACGGAGTTACCTCGGGGCATTTCGGAGTAGAAAAAACACGGCAGCAGCTGCAGCGGTATTATTACTGGCCCGAAATGTTGACCGACGTACAACGACACGTGGCATCGTGTCCCACTTGTCAGCTCATGAAATCATCACGACAGCGGCCGGCGGGACAGTTGCAGCCGATACCACCCCCAGAGCGTGCTTGGCAGCAGGTGACGATAGACTTCGTCACGGGGTTACCAGCCAGGGCGAGTGGGAACAACGCGATCCTAGTCGTCGTCAATCGACTGACGAAAATGGCACATTTCGCAGCCTGCAAAAAATCAATCACATCCGAAGAAACGGCACGCCTCTTCATCTCCACCGTCGTTCGACTGCACGGGATACTAGCCGCGATCATCAGCGACCGCGACACGAAATTCACCAGCAACTTCTGGCGGAACCTGTGGCAGCAGTTCGGCACGCGACTACAGTTCAGTTCATCATACCACCCCGAAACTGACGGACAGACAGAACGGACAAATCAGACCATAGAACAGCTCATCAGGGCCACGTGTGACGACCCGACCACGTGGGAACAGCAACTGCCACTAATCGAATTCACGTACAACAACGCGCCATCCGCCACGACCCAACAGTCACCATTTTACCTAAACTACGGACAAGACCCGACAGTACGCATGACCCCGAATCCCGACAACCTAGTACCACGAGCACAACAGTTCGCCGGAATATTACAAGCAACACGGACCCGGGCAGTAGACGCAATAAAAAAATCGAACATCATCGCTAAACGCAACGCCGACCGCCACCGCAGACCTGTCACTTACCAGCCCGATGACTTAGTTTTACTTGACACTCAGAACCTCCGACTGCCCATCACCCCGAAACTCCGCCCCCGATACTGCGGGCCATTTCGCATAAGCCACATGCTTACACCCGTCACCGCCCACCTCCTTCTCCCTGCTGACTGGTACGTCAGCCCCTTATTCCACGTCAGCCTACTTCGCCCTTACGTCCCGTCCACGAGCCAACTGCCACGCAATCGCCCAGCCAGCATGACAAGACCACCAACTGAACCAATCATCACCCCCGAGAAAATCCTAAGTTACAGAGTTCGCGACCCTCGAGGAGCCCGAAGGATCGAGTTCTTACTCCGCTGGAAGGACCGTACACCCACCGAAGACAATTGGGTTCCCCTGGACAGAATCGAAAACCACCCCGTCCTCACCGAGTATCTGCGCAGCCGAAATTTCAGGGATGTACACGCACTTTCGTAAGGAGGACCTCCTTAGGGGGGGGGGGGGGGGGTAGTGTAAGGAAAATTCCTTTTCCTTACTTCGCATCCCTGCTCAACGCGTACATCACTGTAGCACCACAGTCAGCACCGTTACCACTCGCAACCCTTGCATCGACAATCCGCCCGCCACCTTTCGCACATCGCACCCCGACCTCACGGCTCGGCGGGTAACCCGCGCTCCGGGCCTCCGCTTCGACACTTTTTCCCAACCTCAGTCTCAGGCCCGTCGCGCGACAATCATAGTCCATTACTGTTACCACTGTAGTTTCGCTATATATTCTTCGCTCATGCCTTCGCTCATTGTACTCTTCCTTCGATAGTGCAATTCTCGTTCGTTCACTCAATTGCACTTGTAACACCTACCCACCATTCTAGAAGTATAACAAACTGCTCTGAACCCTGTAGTGGTTGCCTATGCGACTGTTCGGTATAGGAATTGCACGACCCCTAACAAGAGCTCCAACTTTTCATGCAAGATTCCAATTTTTAATCAATCTGGTACAAATTTCGGCCGAACATACCACAAATTAAAATGGGATGATTATTGCAGTAGATTGGAAATTGGTTCATATACTATGTGCATGCCATTTTGTAAACACATGTGAATGAATGGATATGAATGGATGTCACCGGTGTTATGGACCACTGAATGAGGCAAGCAGACCAACAAGGGCAGCATTTATATAAATAGCAGGTTCATTTAGGCGATTGTCTCTTGAGTCCTTGAAGTTGTCGTCATGGTCTGGCCCTCCCACCACAGCTCCTGCACACACCGAAGACCAAAACACAATATACCATACTAGTCAACATAATGTGCAGCATCCAACAGCGGCAAACACATACTGCCGTACAACATGGCAAACTGTAGAAAAAAAATCTTTGTACAACAAAGTGTGGTGTGCACCTGAGAGTATGTTGCGGTTGGGTGAGCTACTTTGCAGCCACTGTTGACCCGAGGAGCATGTGTACACCGTTGGATCCGACGCTAGGGATGGGATCGACGCCCCTCGATGGCGGACAAACTTGGGGTATTTCTCGCCAAAGCCCACCATGTAGCTAAGTTGTTGCGGATTAGACCCTAGAAAATAGTCGATCTGAAGAACAAACAGAAAAATACAGATTACTTTGAAGTGACAGAAAGTAGAAGAGTATTATTGTTCACGACCAATCAACATCCTCGAGTCATTCATCAACACGCGATGCCGTAGCTAATACGGAAAAACCAGAGATACAAACTGTATTTTGAGCCATCTCATATCGCATATGTTCTGCACGCACCTGTGATCGGGCTATGGCTGACACGGCATGTGGATACACACCGGTGCACTGTGCTATGAGCTGTGCTCAAAACTGCATCCCTCTGTCACTGCACACACCTGTGATCGGGCTACGGCTGACACAGCATGTGGGGACACACCGGTGCACCGCCCCTCATCCTCTGCTCCTTGCTTGAGGAAGCGAGAGTAAGTGTTGAGAAGGAAGGCCGCCTGCACTGCTGCATGCAGCGGCCGATTCTCATCTAGCCATAACAACCCGCCTGGTGTGGGGTTGAATGTGGGAACAGAGGGTAGAGGGGATGGGAGTGGGAGTAGGTGTTGAGAAGGAAGACTGCCTGCACTGCTGCAGCATGCAGCGGCTCATTCTCATCTAGCCATAACAACCTGCCTGGCGTGGGTATGGATGGGTCAAACGTGTTGGAGGAAGGGACAGGAACATGCAGGCACGGGGAAGGAAGGGAGTGAGAGTAGGTCTAGGTGTTGAGAAGGAAGGCTTCCTGCACTGCTGCATGCAGCGGCTCATCCTCGTCCAGCCATAGCAGGCCCCCTGGTGGGGGGTTGAAAGTGAGGAGGGAGAGGGGCAAGGAGGAAAGGGAGGGGAATAGTAATTCGTTATGAGAAGAAACGCTAGGTAAGTGGTCCAGCCATAGCACGTCAGCAGGCTCAGAGGGAAGCTTCCACAAGTCTGCTTTTGAGTCGACTCAAAAGAGCTTCCACTAGTCACCCACATACCATGCTTCATACAACGAGTTTCGTACCATGCCGTGCAAGGCATGCTGTGTGCTAGCGTCTCAGCACTGGTCCTGGAGGGCACGTTAGCTATGGAATGAAATGGACGCACAGATGGAATCTTTTCACGAGCTTCACGATTTTTTTAGGCGCCTCAAAAAACGCAGTGGAAGCGCAGATGGAATCGCTCACGAGCTTCACGCGGTGAGTTTCATACCATTGTAACAAGGTGACTTTTGAGTGACTCAAAAGTCACGTGGAGTCAGAAGCACATATGGAATCGTTCCCAAGCTTCACGCGGTGAGTTTCATACCATGAGCTGCGCGCAGGTTCGTTCGTCGTACCTTTGAGGCGCCTCAAAATTCGTTTCTTGAGGCGCCTCAAAATTCGTTTCTTGAGGCGCCTCAAAATTCGTTTCTTGAGGTGCCTCAAAATTCGTTTCTTGAGGTGCCTCAAAATTCGTTTCTTGAGGCGCCTCAAAAAAGGTTCGTTCGTCGTACCTTGCGTTCTTGGCTGGGCTAGAGTGTCAGCACTGGTCCTGGACGGCGCACCGGCCGTGGAAGCACAGATGGAAGCTTCCATGAGCTTCTGGAATCTGAAGATGACGTCAGCACCAGATGGCTGCGTGGTGGCCTCATCCTCCTCCCACTCCCCCGTGGAGTTTTGAGCTGTCCCTTTTCAAGGCCCCAGCAGGAACATAGCCTAGCAGCACAATCCCACCAGCTAACAGCCAGCCACACACACGCAATCAGACACACACACGCCATCGTACCTTGGGTTTTGGGCATGTTCTGGGCCTATGTTGGAAAATACGCGTATGGCGTACGGAACGCATACGAACTATACGGTATCGTACAGATATGATTGGTGTGAGGTGGTGTGCGGTGGAGGGGAGGGGAGGGGGGCATTCGAGTTTCGAATCTCAAAATTAGGTTTCACAGAATTGCAGATCGCGGAATCAGCGGCAACAGATTTTTTCTCTTTTTTTTTCAGGCTGCCCGACGAAACGTATCGCGGATTACGGAACGTATCACGTTTTTCCGTATATACGTTCTCGTATAAACGTGATACGCGTAGAAGCCCGAGCGTTTTTTCCAACATAGTTCTGGGCTAGAGTCTCAGCACTGGTCCTGGACGGCACGTCAGCAGTGGAAGCACAGATGGAAGCTTCTATGAGCTTCTGGAATCTGAAGATGACGTCAGCACCAGATGGCTGCGTGGTGGCCTCATCCTCCTCCCCCTCCCCCATGGAGTTTTGAGCTGTCCCATTTCATTTCAAGGCCCCAGCAGGAACATTGCCTAGCAGCACAATCCCACCAGCTAACAGCCAGCCACACACACACAATCAGACACACGCACGCCATCTTACCTTGCGTTTTGGGCATGTTCTGGGCTAGAGTCTCAGCACTGGTCCTGGATGGCACGTCAGCAGTGGAAGCACAGATGGAAGCTTCTATGAGCTTCTGGAATCTGAAGATGACGTCAGCACCAGATGCCTGAGTGGTGGCCTCGTCCTCCTCCTCCATAGGGCCCAAAACGAACGTCGCCAGCAGCACTGCTGCCCCCGCTGCCTTGTTGGCGTGAGTGAAGTTGAGCGAGTAGGACAATGATGCATGCTGGGGCTGATGGGTTGAGAGGGGTGGAAGGGGAGAAGAGAGAGTGAAGAGATGGCTCAAAACTGGCACGCCTGTGTGGCCGCCTCGTCCTCCTCCTCTTCCATAGGCCCAAAACGAACGTCGCCAGCAGCAACACTGCTGCCCCCGCTGCCTTGTTGGCGTGAGTGAAGGCGAGCGTGTACTGGAGCGAATCTAGCAGGGGCTGGTGGGTTGAGAGGGGTGGGAGGGGAGAAGAGACCTTTGAGATGCGCCAAAACACACACATACGCCTGTGTGGTCGCCTCGTCCTCCTCCTCCATGGGCCCCATCCCAGCACGAACGTCGCCAGCAGCACTGCTGTCTTGTTGTAAGGATTTGTAACGCCCCCGCTGCCTTGTTGGCGTGAGTGAAGGCAAGCGTGTAGGGCAGAGACGAATGCTGTGGCTGGGGTTTTGTAGAAGGGGAATATGTGGATTGGAGGAAGAAGTGAAGGAAAGGACGCAGAACAAAACTACAGCACCTCAAAGCTTTGAGAACCGACCAAAGGTGGTAACAAAAGTGATGTGCATGCAGCAGCGTTCACCATGCAGCAAAGGAACGTAGATGCACCAGCAGCGCTCATCATGAGCAAGAGAGCTCACCTTGAGCAAGAGAGCTTACCATGAGCAAGAGAGCTCACCTTGAGCAAGAGAGCTTACCATGAGCAAGAGAGCTCACCTTGAGCAAGAGAGCTTACCATGAGCAAGAGAGCTCACCTTGAGCAAGAGAGCTTACCATGAGCAAGAGAGCTCACCTTGAGCAAGAGAGCTCACCTTGAGCAAGAGAGCTCACCTTGAGCAAGAGAGCTTACCATGAGCAAGAGAGCTCACCTTGAGCAAGAGAGCTCACCTTGAGCAAGAGAGCTCACCTTGAGCAAGAGAGCTCTCCTTGGGCAAGAACTAGTGCAGGGGGTCAGACATGGTGGTGCGCCAGAGCCATGCCCGTAGCAACCAAGAGGGGGCTATAAGGAGGGAACCCACCATGAGTAGGGGGAACGCACCTGCAGCAGTACTGGTGCAAGGGGTCGGACATGGTGGTGCGCCAGAGCCGTGGCAGTGACAAGTTGGGACAGTAGGCACCCACCAGGTGATATGGGAACGCACCTTGAGCAGGTACTGGTGCAGGGAGGTCGTTTTTGAGGCGCCTCAAAAACGACCCACCAGGTGATATGGGAACGCACCTTGAGCAGGTACTGGTGCAGGGAGGTTGTTTTTGAGGCGCCTCAAAAACGACCCACCAGGTGATATGGGAACGCACCTTGAGCAGGTACTGGTGCAGGGAGGTCGTTTTTGAGGCGCCTCAAAAACGACCCACCAGGTGATATGGGAACGCACCTTGAGCAGGTACTGGTGCAGGGAGGTCGTTTTTGAGGCGCCTCAAAAACGACCCACCAGGTGATATGGGAACACATCTTGAGCAGGTACTGGTGCAGGGGGTTGGACATGGCGGTGTGCCAGAGCCATGGCAGCAGCATTTGACACAGGCACCGCAGCAGCAGTGGAGGTAGCAGGCTAGCAGCAGATGGGACGAGAACACACGTTGAGCAGGTACTGGTGCAGGGGGTTGGACATGGAAGTGCGCCTGTTTTTTAGTCGACTCAAAAACCGACTCATCTGGTGCAGGGGGTTGGAACTTGGACATGGTGGTGTGCCAGAGCCATGGCAGTAGCAAAGGAGTGAGGAAAGATAAGATGGAACCCACCAGCTTCAAAGGAACCCACCTTGAGCAGGTATTGATGCAGGGGGTCGGTCGGTTGGACATGGTGGTGTGCCATAGCCGTGCCAGCAGCAAGTAGGGAAGGTAGGCACGCCGCACCCACCAGATGGGGAGGGAAGGAAACTCACTTTGAGCAGGTATTGATGCAGGGGGTCGGACATGGTAGTGCGCCACAGCCAAGCAGCCGCCCACAGCAGCTCATCGTGAAAGTCAGGCGAGGAGGATGGGGGTGGCTCGTAGGGGAGAGTTCCTGGTAGGGCCGTGCTGGTGGGGGTTGCACGAACAAGGGAGAAGAGAGCATCCAGCTCACAAGGGTCGTTTTTGAGGCGCCTAAAAAACGAGAAGAGAGCAACCCGCTCACAAGGGCATGAGCCGACTTTTGAGTCGACTCAAAAGTCACCTCGTTGCACGAACAAGGGAGAAGAGAGCAAGCAACCAGCTCACAAGGGCATGAGCCGACTTTTGAGCCGACTCAAAAGTCACCTCGTTGCACGAACAAGGGAGAAGAGAGCAACCCGCTCACAAGGGCATGAGCCGATTTTTGAGTCGACTCAAAAGTCACCTCGTTGCACGAACAAGGGAGAAGAGAGCAACCCGCTCACAAGGGCATGAGCCGACTTTTGAGTCGACTCAAAAGTCACCTCGTTGCACGAACAAGGGAGAAGAGAGCAACCCGCTCACAAGGGCATGAGCCGACTTTTGAGTCGACTCAAAAGTCACCTCGTTGCACGAACAAGGGAGAAGAGAGCAACCCGCTCACAAGGGCATGAGCCGACTTTTGAGTCGACTCAAAAGTCACCTCGTTGCACGAACAAGGGAGAAGAGAGCAACCCGCTCACAAGGGCATGAGCCGACTTTTGAGTCGACTCAAAAGTCACCTCGTTGCACGAACAAGGGAGAAGAGAGCAACCAGCTCACAAGGGCATGAGCTTTGGCAAGGGGTGTGAGCAAGCCCTGACCTGAGCAATGGTATGAGCCCTGAGCAAGGGTAGAGAGGCAGAGAGGTAGGCAGAAGAAAAGCTCACTCGTCAGTAGGGGTGGAGGTGGGGGTGGAGGTGGGGGTGGAGGTGGGGGTGGTGCACACGGCATGATGGCACGGTGAATGGCGAGAAAAAACGAGGGTGAAGGTCGTGTGGTGGCTAGGGTGACGAGCATGGTGGCGTAATGCATGGCGGGTGGGAGCAATGGGGCACTGTAGAGGGCGGAAGGGGAGAGAGGCAGAGAGGCAGGGAGGCAGAGAGGCAGGGAGGCAGAGAGGCAGGGAGGCAGAGAGGCAGGGAGGCAGAGAGGCAGGGAGGCAAAGAGGCAGAGAGGCAGGGAGGCAGAGAGGCAGAGAGGCAGAGAGGCAGAGAGGCAGAGAGGCAGAGAGGCAGAGAGGCAGGGAGGCAGAGAGGCAGAGAGGCAGAGAGGCAGAGAGGCAGAGAGGCAGAGAGGCAGAGAGGCAGAGAGGCAGAGAGGCAGAGAGGCAGAGAGGCAGCGAGGCAGCGAGGCAGAGAGGCAGAGAGGCAGAGAGGCAGAGAGGCAGCGAGGCAGCGAGGCAGCGAGGCAGAGAGGCAGCGAGGCAGCGAGGCAGCGAGGCAGAGAGGCAGCGAGGCAGCGAGGCAGCGAGGCGGCGAGGCAGAGAGGCAGCGAGGCAGAGAGGCAGAGAGGCAGCGAGGCAGCGAGGCAGCGAGGCAGCGAGGCAGCGAGGCAGCGAGGCAGCGAGGCAGAGAGGCAGAGAGGCAGCGAGGCAGCGAGGCAGCGAGGCAGCGAGGCAGCGAGGCAGAGAGGCAGAGAGGCAGAGAGGCAGAGAGGCAGAGAGGCAGCGAGGCAGCGAGGCAGAGAGGCAGAGAGGCAGAGAGGCAGAGAGGCAGAGAGGCAGAGAGGCAGAGAGGCAGAGAGGCAGAGAGGGAGAGAGGCAGCGAGGCAGCGAGGCAGAGAGGCAGAGAGGCAGAGAGGCAGAGAGGCAGAGAGGCAGAGAGGCAGAGAGGCAGAGAGGCAGAGAGGCAGAGAGGCAGAGAGGCAGAGGGGCAGAGGGGCAGAGAGGCAGCGAGGCAGCGAGGCAGCGAGGCAGCGAGGCAGCGAGGCAGCGAGGCAGAGAGGCAGAGAGGCAGAGAGGCAGCGAGGCAGCGAGGCTGCGAGGCAGAGAGGCAGCGAGGCAGCGAGGCAGAGAGGCAGAGAGGCAGAGAGGCAGAGAGGCAGAGAGGCAGAGAGGCAGAGAGGCAGAGAGGCAGAGAGGCAGCGAGGCAGCGAGGCAGCGAGGCAGAGAGGCAGCGAGGTAGCGAGGCAGAGAGGCAGAGAGGCAGCAAGGCAGAGAGGCAGAGAGGCAGAGAGGCAGGGAGGCAGGGAGGCAGAGAGGCAGAGAGGCAGAGAGGCAGAGAGGCAGAGGGGCAGAGAGGCAGAGAGGCAGAGAGGCAGGGAGGCAGAGAGGCAGAGAGACAGAGAGGCAGCGAGGCAGCGAGGCAGAGAGGCAGCGAGGCAGAGAGGCAGCGAGGCAGCGAGGCAGAGAGGCAGAGAGGCAGAGAGGCAGAGAGGCAGAGAGGCAGAGAGGCAGAGAGGCAGAGAGGCAGAGAGGCAGCGAGGCAGCGAGGCAGCGAGGCAGCGAGGCAGCGAGGCAGCGAGGCAGAGAGGCAGAGAGGCAGAGCGGCAGAGAGGCAGAGAGGCAGAGAGGCAGCGAGGCAGCGAGGCAGCGAGGCAGAGAGGCAGAGAGGCAGAGAGGCAGAGAGGCAGAGAGGCAGCGAGGCAGCGAGGCAGCGAGGCAGAGAGGCAGCGAGGCAGCGAGGCAGCGAGGCAGAGAGGCAGCGAGGCAGCGAGGCAGCGAGGCAGAGAGGCAGCGAGGCAGCGAGGCAGCGAGGCAGCGAGGCAGCGAGGCAGCGAGGCAGAGAGGCAGAGAGGCAGAGAGGCAGAGAGGCAGAGAGACAGCGAGGCAGCGAGGCAGAGAGGCAGAGAGGCAGAGAGGCAGAGAGGCAGAGAGGCAGCTCGGCAGCGAGGCAGAGAGGCAGAGAGGCAGAGAGGCAGAGAGGCAGAGAGGCAGAGAGGCAGAGAGGCAGAGAGGCAGAGAGGCAGAGAGGCAGAGAGGCAGAGGGGCAGAGAGGCAGAGAGGCAGAGAGGCAGCGAGGCAGCGAGGCAGAGAGGCAGAGAGGCAGAGAGGCAGAGAGGCAGAGAGGCAGAGGCAGAGAGGCAGAGAGGCAGAGGGGCAGAGAGGCAGAGAGGCAGCGAGGCAGCGAGGCAGAGAGGCAGCGAGGCAGCGAGGCAGCGAGGCAGAGAGGCAGAGAGGCAGAGAGGCAGAGAGGCAGAGAGGCAGCGAGGCAGCTCCCACATTCGTGGAGATGGTTTTTAAGTCGACTTAAAAATCGGCTCATCACATATTCGTGGAGATGGTTTTTAAGTCGACTTAAAAATCGACTCATCACACATTCGTGGAGATGGCGTGGCGGTGGTGGAGAGTTCAAAGAGCATGGTGGCGTGGTGCATAGCGAGAGGGAACGGGGGCGCAATGGAGAGGCAGAGCGGCAGGCAGAGGGACAGAGATAGGGGCAGCTCGCTCACTCATCCGTGGAGGTGGCGGTGGTGGCGAGTTCAAAGAGCATGGTGGAGATGGTGAGTGGCAAGGGACAGGCAGAGAAGAGAGGCAGGCGGAGGGGCAGGCAGGGGGGCAGGCAAAGGGGAAGCCGCTCACTCACTCATCGGTGGAGGTGGCGGTGGTGGCGAGTTCAAAGAGCATGGTAGCGTGGTCCCTCAGCGAGGCGGCGTATCCGGGGTCAAACTCGCCGAACACATGCGAGGCTGGTTCGGAAGGAGGGGAGTGTGAAGAACGGAAGTTGGGGCATAGAGGGGGAGAGTAGCAGGAGTTGGGAATGGTGGCGTGGTCCTGCAGCAAGGCAGCATATCCGGGGTTTAACTCGCCGAGTACGTGTGCGGATGGGGTGTTGGTGCGGAGAAGGGGGCGAGGGGCGGAAGTGGGGTCACAAAAGGGGAAAGAAGCGGGAGTAGGGAAAGGGGGCGTTCCGTCGCCCCGCAGCAAGGCAGCATATCCGGGGTTTAACTCCTAAGTGTGGGGAGCGGAAGTGTGGGGAGTGCCCTCTGTGTGTGGTTCCACAGCAAGTAGGCGCATGCGGCCAAGGCAACTCGTGATTCTCATCTCACCAGCAGTAGCCAAGGGGTCAGTGGTGTCGCTGCCCATGGCCCCTCTACCCCCCAAAGCAGGCATACTGCACGCTGCACACCTCAAGCCCGCACTCACGGATAGACTCATTCTGGGACTTTACATCGCACACACTATCTCACCTCACCCACACCCAAGGCATCTCACCTGCAGCAAAGGCAGCCGACATGTCAGCCAGAACCGCCGCCCCCGGCCCGTTCGCGCCCACCACCGTGTACACCGGCCGGGCGGCAGAGTCGTCTTCTGGCCGCTGCCAGCACGAATCCTGGGCGGCAGAGTCACCCACTTGCGCCACGACACAGCCCCGGCCCAAATCCGCCATGAGCAACCAATCCACTCCCCATTTGAGTAGGTCCACTGCCCGCTGCTTCAACCCAGATGACTCGAGCTCGGGACTGGAAAGGGGAAGGGGTGGGGAAATGGGAAATGGTTGAGGTCGGGTTGACCTACAACACAGCCGCGGCCCGGGTCCGCCCTTTCATGGTTTGCCATGAGCAGCCAGTCCACGCCCCATTTGAGTAGGTCCACTGCCCGCTGCTTCAACCCAGATGACTCGAGCTCGGGTCTAGAAGGGTGTACGAGAAGAATGGGGAAGCAAAGTGGAGACGTGAGCCACGACATAGCCCCGGCCCAGGTCCACCCTGAAAAGCCAATCCACTCCCCATTTGACTGCTCAGGCGAGACGGAATCCACGGAGCTCCTGCGGGATCCCCCGTCCTTGGAATCGAAGGAGAAGGTCGAATCCGCTGAGCCCTTTCGGGACGGCGAGCCGCCGAGTGAGGGCACGGATGGCGCCTTGGAATCGAACGAGATGGTTGAGTCCATGGAGCCCTTCCGTGAGCCGCTTGGAGAGGGGGGGTTGGACGCGACAGGGAAGCTCTTCGGGTCGAAAGGAGTTGGAGGAAGGGGCTTCTGAGGAGGGTCCCCCTTGACCTTGCCGAGGGCGCGGCGCGGCGCCGCTGAGACTCCAGCGAGGCTCAGAGTCGCGGCGAGGACGAGGGCGAGCAGGAAGAGCGAGCGAAGCGCACCCATGGCTGCGTTTCTTACTGAAAGAAGCCTGAATAGGAAATAAGAATCAGATCGCTGGGATGGCTGACGGTAGTTTCAGAGGCTTCTGGGAATATATTCCAAGGCGCTGGGATGGCTGCTACTACTAGTTCTAGTTGAATGAGGCCCGAATGATGATGATCTGCTTAGCTAGAGCGGAATTTTATACCACGAAGCATCGCGCCATACGGGCAGGCCAGTTTCGGTCTGCTGTCGTATTGCGTTTCGTGGCGCCTCGGTTTACTGCTGAGCCTAGAAGCGTCGGATGCGGCGCCGATGGTGGGGAGTTTTGGGTGATGGTGATGCTGAAAATTATATAAAAGGCAATAATGACGGGCCCCGAATGTGTGCGCGAGGCTGGTTGCTTCCAGCCGGTTGCATCGAGCTCGGCACTGGAAGGGGGGACGGGGACACGGAAGGAGAAGGCAGAGGAGGGCGGGATATGGTGGACTCGAGATATGGTGGACTCAAGATATGGTGGACTCGAGATATGGTGGACTCGAGATATGGTGGACTCGAGATATGGTGGACTCGAGATATGGTGGACTCGAGATATGGTGGACTCGAGATATGGTGGACTCGAGATATGGTGGACTCGAGATATGGTGGACTCGATATATGGTGGACTCGAGATATGGTGGACTCGAGATATGGTGGACTCGAGATATGGTGGACTCGAGATATGGTGGACTCGAGATATGGTGGACTCGAGATATGGTGGACTCGAGATATGGTGGACTCGAGATATGGTGGACTCGAGATATGGTGGACTCGAGATATGGTGGACTCGAGATATGGTGGACTCGAGATATGGTGGACTCGAGATATGGTGGACTCGAGATATGGTGGACTCGAGATATGGTGGACTCGAGATATGGTGGACTCGAGATATGGTGGACTCGAGATATGGTGGACTCGAGATATGGTGGACTCGAGATATGGTGGACTCGAGATATGGTGGACTCGAGATATGGTGGACTCGAGATATGGTGGACTCGAGATATGGTGGACTCGAGATATGGTGGACTCGAGATATGGTGGACTCGAGATATGGTGGACTCGAGATATGGTGGACTCGAGATATGGTGGACTCGAGATATGGTGGACTCGATATATGGTGGACTCGAGATATGGTGGACTCGAGATATGGTGGACTCGAGATATGGTGGACTCGAGATATGGTGGACTCGAGATATGGTGGACTCGAGATATGGTGGACTCGAGATATGGTGGACTCGAGATATGGTGGACTCGAGATATGGTGGACTCGAGATATGGTGGACTCGAGATATGGTGGACTAGAGATATGGTGGACTCGAGATATGGTGGACTCGAGATATGGTGGACTCGAGATATGGTGGACTCGGGATATGGTGGACTCGGGATATGGTGGACTCGAGAGCTTAGCCCTGACATTTGAGTCGACTCGAAAGAATTGAAGAGGAAATCATTTGGTCCTTGGTTTTGGTGACTGGTTATTTATCCTCCCCTCTGCTCGTGGGCTCTTCAGCTAGCCCACTGTGGTTATGCATACCTCACCTACCATACCATACCACACCATACCATACCGTACTGTAATGTACCGTACCATACCGTATCATACATCCACCCATATTCGTTTACAAGAACTCATCCATACCCCACATAAGCGCTCAGCCATATCCCACATAACCACTCACCCGTACCCCATAAAGGCACTCACTCGAACTCGACAATGCTCCAAGCCAGCATGCTCATAGCGAATGCAGTCAGCCCCGTCTGCTTCACTCCCCCCCCATCCACATAGTACCCCCCTGCGAGATCTCGCCCCACGGCGCTCCCATCCTGCAGATGAGAGCTGTTGCGCCAGGGGGGGTGGGGGGTGCTGTGGCAAGGGAGGAAGCGGGGGAGGCGAAGGGGCGAAAAGAGCAAGGGAGAGGAAGGAAATGTAAAGGAGCCCTGTGTGCTTCACTCCCCCCCCATCCCCATAGTACCCCCCTGCCAGGTCTCGACCCACTGCGCTCCCATCCTTCACATGCGAGCTGTTGCGCCAGGCTGGGTGGGAGGTGCTGAAGGAACCGAAGAAGGAGAGAGGGGGGCGGGTGAGCGGGCGCGGGGGAACAGGAGCGGGGTAAGCAAGGATATGTGAGTAGGGGTGGGGGGACAGGGAATGGAGGGAAGTGGAAGGTGGCTGTGTGCGGAGGGCGCCGTTCTGATGCGCGCCAAAGAAATCAAAAGTAGATTAAGGTTGATATAAGGTTGATTGAAGCGTTTTATGAGGCACCTCAAAAGGTCTCCCCTGGCACAAGGTTGATTGAAGCGGTTTAAACTTAAGATGGTCAAGCTTTTGACGCCGTTGAAGTCTACTGAGCCGTCTCTCAACACTCAGCAGCAGCACTCACAGCGCCAGGTCGCCGCTCTTGGGAGCATCCAAGCGGTCAAAGCATTCGCAGCAGCACTCACAACGCCCAACACTCAGCAGCAACACTCACAGCGCCAGGTCACCGCTCTTCTGCGCGTCGAAGAAATCGAGGCACAGGTTCAAAGCCGCCTTGTAGTCGTGCAGCGGCGGATCCGGCGGTGGAGCCTGACCGTTTCCCCCCGTGCTCCCCGCGCTCCCCGAGCCGCCGCTAGTCGCGCCGCCATCATTCGCGCTCGCGTCGACCCGCTTCCCCTCCGCCTGCATCGCCGCATCTCCCGCCGCAGGAGCCGCTGGTCTGAAGCCCCACATGGCGATTAGGACAGCGAGGAGGACTAAGAGACAGACGAAAATTGTTAGGCCTATTAGACAGGCTTTTGTCGGCGGCTCCGGGGGATTTGCCCTGGTATTGTTACCGAAATGGGACTCCTCGTCGTCCCGGTCTCGACGGATTAGGCTGGTTTGCGGAAAGGCCGGCGAGGGTTCCTCGTCTTCTACGTATTCCGACGGCATGTGAACGCTTAGAGGCTTCATTGTGGAGGCAGCCGTCGGAATAATAATTGTAACAATAGTTATGAAATGTATGTTTCGTAGTAGTACGGGATTATGAAATGTAGTGTAAATGCTTCAACGATTCGCAACGATATAATGTGCGGAATGCGAGCATGAGAAGGTGCACGATTGAGCTTTTGGAGTGTTTCGTCGACGAAAGAACCGGTTTCACGAAGCAGGTGAAGACATTTCGCCACAAACACGAGGTGGTGAATGGGCGTCCCGCGCTAACTATATGTTTTATGTGTAAATACCTGACGGTACTTTTTACCTCCGGTTCTCCTGGATTAACACACGAGACATGTCCTGAAGGATTCTGCACAGCGTCTCTCACGAGACATGATGCCGAATAACAATAAGACAGTCCTGTATTGTTCTGTGCATGCTAGCTAGGCTGTGGCTGCTGCGCGTTTTTGGGATTGGTCTGGGTTTGGGTTGGTGGTGCGGTGACGTGATGTGACAGGACAGGTCGTATGTCTTCTGTGCGTTCTTTACGGTCTGATTCGTTCTGTCACGGTGCCAAGCGGTATAATTTGAAGAATGCTTTCCACCATGTAGAACCGTCCTGAGCCACGAACCACGAAATCTGAATCTATGAACCACCCCCCCCCCCCCCCCCCCCCCTCCCCCCACCCCCTTTTCTCTGGAGTGTGTTTGATTCGAGTGGAAGTGTGAGATGGTGACCACGCGAAGTGGTGGTGAGTGTGTGGTGGTCAGGTGTGGTCAGTGGTCACTTGGAGACCCCAGCAGTTTGAGCCGGCAGCCTGCTGAACTGGCAAGCAACCAATAAACTGTGCTCGATATAGGTAAACGGTGCCCAACCACTCTTCCATACACACCGTACGGTTGCGATATTTGCCAACTGTCCATTTTTTCTAGGGATGATCGTATGAAACATTACTTCCCTTGATCTCAAACTTGTATCGAAACACTCTGTGAAGTGGTTGATCAGCTACCAAACCAACTCAACAACCAGACCCACACTTCTTCACTGCCAACTCATCAGCCCGTCAGCCGAGACATGTGGCGGCCAGTGGCGGAAGGCAACTCGCGACAGGGGACTTCAGCGAGGTTCACGAACTCAAGCCTGGTAACTCTCCGAGTGCAAACAGCTGACTCAAGTCACGCGAAAATGAATCGTCCAGTTTCGTCTCGTCTCGTGCTTCCACTATTTCCTCCGTCACCTACACTTATCGTGCACCTGGTTACCGCATCATGCATCAAGCGCTGCGTGTGCTGCCTGCTGCTGCCATTTCCCTAATCATCAGTCCCATAGTCAACGCCACACAACACAACACCAAACCATTAGCCCCAGTCCGCTTCCCTGGCCTCTCCATTTTAGAATGTGAATGTTTCACCCCGCAGTTTTAGAATGTGAAGCCCGCACTCAGCGTTTCAGTTGTCGCCCCTGAAATTATCCAACGAGAGCCGGCTAGTTATGGTTCATTCACCGACGGTTCAATCACATTCGCTTTCCGCTCCACTCAAGACAGTAACTATCAGGGAAGCCACTATCACAGCCATCCATGTCGGAACCGCAGTCAACTCCTCCAAATAACCCAGGCCACTCACAGTCGCATTCGAATCCTCAGTGTCGCCACACTGGTAGTGGTATCATGCGGGGGAGTTGCGATATTTCTAGAAAATCAGCTTTCTTGATTTCCCTCTTCCTTCTGTCCGCTAAATTCGACCGTTGCGTGTCCGCACCTCGAGAATCCGTCCTGGAGAGACCGGAGACTGAACCGATTTTCAACGCTCCTTCTGAAGCACCTCAGAATAAACTAGTTCGAAGCAGGGTTCTAGAGAGGCGAGCAGATGAAGCACAGCAAACGTCGCAGCAGATACAGCCGTTAAAAATTCCGCAATGGACGCCGCAGACAGCGCAGGGTCAGGAGAATGAGCTGGTACAGAAGAACATTCGTAATAACGTGGCGCAAGCTACCGCGCTACAGATACCAGCGGGCATCGTAAGAGTCAACTCGGTCAAAATCGACGGCGCGTCGGATGCAGTCTTTCGACCCATTATCCCGAGCGT